GAGAATCCAGGTGCCCACAGAGAAAAGAGGGGCTGCGGAGGCCAGGGGCGGGGAGGGAATCCTGCCGCAGGCCAGGGCTTGTGTTTATCTCTGTTTATGTCTGTTTCTGTGCACAAAAAGCTGTGATGGGCCAAGGTCCCTTTTTACAGTCAAAGGGGACTTGTGGCCATGCAGTGGGAATGGAGAAAAAGTGACAACTCTCTAAGAAACGAAAGAGTTCAATGCCAGGCGGAATGAAGGACCAAGGATAGCTTGTCAGGGAGATAGAGCAGTGTTCCTCAGGGCTCCCCACCCTCAACCTTGGGAGAATTAAGACTCTGGGAGAGGGAGTAGGCTCTGGCAGATGATGGGGAATTAGCCTTTGGACAGGTGTTTGAGGAAAGGCACACACTTGTCCTTGGGTCAGAACACAGGACCAGAGGGACAATGAAAGTGAGGGGCCCCAGGTGTGTGGTTTGGAGGGCCAGGCTTGGGAGTCAGCCCAGGGATGGAATGTATAAGAACAATAGGCCAGGTCTTGAGAGAGAGAGAGAGAGAGAGAGAGAGAGAGAGAGAGAAAGAGAGAGAGAGAGAAAAAGAGAGAGAGAGAGAGAGGTGGCAGTGTGAGGAAGAAGAGGAGCAGGAGTCTTGAAGGTGTGTGTGTGTGTGTGTGTGTTATGGGTTCTGAAAATCACAGTGAGAGTGTAGTTGGCATTCATTTAGAGAAGTCTCATTTTTCCACTGTGAATCCTCTTTGGCCCTGGGAGTCCATTTCTCCACAGATACGCTCAAGGAGAGTCCCTGGAGCATTCTCAGAGCTAGGATGGCGTCTTTCATTCCAGGTGGGATCCCAAAGGGATCTCACCCCCGACAGAGCCCCAGATCTGGGCAGCCAGCACCGGTCCAAGCAGCAGGCCGCTGGGGTTCCTCTGGCAGAAAGCCCAGCAATTTGTTCACCTTGCCTTTCCCACTTCTGATTGCAGCCTTGAGTAGCCTGAAGTCAGCTGCTGATGAGAACATCATTCTACTCTGCCTTATGCCAGCCCAAGACATCTATCATCCCGTGGAAAGGGCAGCCCTCTTGGTTTGGTACAGACGGGCTGTGGCTCGGGCTTGGCTGTGCCTGACCCAGCCTGGGGCATGCTGGTCACCTCTCCAGGAAACGAGTCATTCGCTGCCAGCCTTTCCTTGCTTCCTCTGCCCCTTGCCACTTAAATGCAAATGTCACCCCTGGGATCCTTTCACTGTGGGGTATTTTTTTAAGAAATAGCATATTGAAAAGGACATTTGTCCTCTGTCCTGTTTAAATTGCTTTCCACAGGTTAGGAAGACCTGGGATTATTTTCTTCTAGAGAGCAGAGCAAGTCTTGTGAAGATTTTGGCTAATTGACTTTTGTAGAAGAGCTGCTTGAATTTATCAAGGAGGTTCAAGTTTCTTTTTCTCCTCCCATATCTTGCAAAAGCTTTACATTTTGTTTCCAAATCTCTGCCAACGCCTGGTCTGTTTAAAAGTGAATTCCCTGGAGACGATGGCAGAGAGGGTGTTGGCTGTCACATTTTTGCAGCTTTAGTCTTTAATACAGTTGTTCCAGTCCCCAGAAAGTCTTTTCTGTTTACATAAGGGAGGTATTATTCACACAAAGATTACATTTAAAAATACACCCCCAGCATGCCTGTTACTAATAACATTGCATGTTATGAAAGTGGAAAGTATTTAAGATGAAATTAATTTTCGCTCAGTGCGCCACTTTGTTTGACGTTCTCGTTCCATTCCGTGCAGGGCACGGACTTGGCCAGGCTCACTTTTCATTTTCAGCAAGTTCACTTTCTTACGCCTCTCTTTTAGAATGAAGCTATTGGAAGTGAGTTGCAAGCATATCAGGAAAAGTCTAATTTGAGAGCTACTGTAGATTTCTTTTGTATTGGCTTCCAGAATTTGTTTTGAAAATGGACACCCTCACCCTCTTCTTCCCAGTCGATGAGTTTTAGTGTACACTTTTCTTTTATTAGTGAGTTATCTTTTAGCAGAATTTCTGGGGTTGGAGTAGTTAACATCTCTTTTGGCAGCCTGTCCAAAGATCGTGGGAAAAGTGAACTGTTTCTCACATGGGACACCTCTCTGTTATGTGTTCTTGTCAGTTCTCATCAGTGTGGCGTGGCTGGTCACTGTTTAGTGGAGGGGAGCGGGAGCTTCCGGGACACCCTTGCCAGGCAGTGTCATCCTGCCTGGACTGAGCTGCCTGTGAAAGTTCTGTTAGAAGCAGGATAACAGCTAAGGGTGGAGGGAGCAAAAGGGAAAAAGGACTCATGGACATGGACAACAGAGGGGTGATTTGGGGGGACAGTGGCTTTGTAAGGGGACTAAATGGTAATGTAAAAAAAATACAATTAAAAAATTTTGTTACACTGAGCTGCATTGCTTTAGCAGGAGACGTTTAAACTGGTGGGACACAGATGCGAACACTTTGTAGGAAATGGTTCTTTATTTTTGATCAATCTCATGATCCTTGTTACCAACCTTGATTACATCAGCATATGTGCTGTTCCGTTTTATAGCATTTTAATGGGCTTTCAACCCCCTCCCCAATTCAGTTCCAGCTGTGTGACTATTATAATTTGATTACAGTTTGGTTTGCAACTGCTAGGACACTTTCTGAGCATATTATTTCTTCTTTGTGAGAGTAAAGCTATTCAGAGGTGAAAAAGAAGCAAAGGGCTTAAAAAAAAAAAACAAAAGAAGGGACTTGTAAAGAAGTAATTTCCAAAAGATGCTCAGAAGGCTGGGATGATTGTATCCTTCCAGAATGAGAAATTTGCTGAAACTCTTTGGTAGCCTCTGACCCACAGACTTTTTATTAAAAAGTATAGAAAAATTCATTATAAATTTGCTTTCTTTGTTCTTCTAAATATTTTGGTTAAGAAATATATTATTTTTAACTTAGTGACTTCCCCTCCTTGATTTTGGCTTTTCAAATCTACACAGAACCAAAACAAAGGGACATTCATAATGTCGCTTCAAAATGAGCTACTTGATTCTCCCTTTGGCCCTGCAGTCCTGGGGCTCTTCTCTTCCTGTCTTTTCCTCCTCCTCTCCACAAAGAGGCTCAAGTTTACCTGGCAATGGTCATGGTATTACATTTGTGTTTCTTTAGCCATTTATTAACCTGCCTAATTTTCATTGGTTAGGTATTTGATGGCATGAATTATTTTACATTAAAAATTTTTACTCTTTATTAATTTCATAGGCAAATGCATATTATTGCTATAATTTTAAAAATTAAAAATGTTTATTTTTAAAAGATTTTGTTTATTTTTAGAGAGAAGGGAAGGGAGGGAAAAGAGAGAGAAAAGAGTGTGAGAGAGAAACATCAATGGGTTGCCTCTCATGCATGCGGCCGCATCTGGACCCAACCTGCAACCCAGGCATGTGCCCTGACTGGGAGTCAAACCATTAATCTTCGGTTTTCAGGATAATGCCCAACCAATTGAGTGATAGCGGTCAGGGCTAAAACAAATTTTAAATTACAGTTGACATTAAATATTATTGTATATTAGTTTCAGGTGTGTGCTTTACATTTGATCAGTTTTCATCAACATTACCATGTTTTTCAGACTATAAGACCCCCCCACCCCTCGGAGGAATAATGGTTGTTGAGTTCTGTTTACATTGGTGAAATATTATTTATGTTATTAAATATTTTACCACATTTTTGCTTCAAAATTTTTTTCCCATTTTCCTCTAAAACCTAGGTGTGTCTTATGGTTCGAAAAATACGGTATATTTTAGACTTTTGAAAGGGATACCATCTTAAAATTAGTAGCATCACCACAGGTGCAAGGATACCAAAGATTCAGGAATATTCAATTTACTGTGCTTAATTAGTTACTAGATCACCACTCCAGAACATCCGGAAAGGTCTTTCTAAATTTTGAACTGAATTAATTTGAATTAGAAATCCAACTATTATTATTTTAAATGATGCTTTTATTTTCCATCAGAAAGCTATTTTTCTTACAAGTGCGCAGTTTTAAAAGACTGGTGTATGCTCCTCTTCACCTTCTTCCCCCCGGTAATAGATTTCCTTTTATGGATGTTTCCTCTGTCCTTCTAGTTTTTTATTTGGAGTGTTTCTCTTCTATTGTAATGGAAATCTGCGCATCTATGCTGGTGATTTGGATTCATTCTGGACTGCCTCTGCTGGCAAATACTGAGAACAGTCGTCTAATAGGGGATGTTAATGAGGGCTCTCTAGAAGCCGGATGACCCCCTACATACCCTGTAGAAGGTTGTTTTAGAGCTACCTCTAGTGTGAAGTGGAACCTCTTGCTCTCTAGAACTGGAACTTTTACTGGTGATTTTGTCGCCCTTAAACAAATTGCAACCAAAGTTGGTTCATTTGGGAACAAAAGGATCGGCAATTCCTAACGGCGAACCGCGCTCCAGTCCATTGAAACACTGGAGAGGGGGAACCTTTACAGACTTGGGTGGGGCTGTTATTAAAAAAAGAGTCCATTGGTGGAAACTGAACTTTGGAAGCCTCGTGATTCTTTATTAACTGGGTTGTGGCAGTCTCCCATTGGCTGAGCCGTCACCGGCGGCGAGGAAGAATCTTCTTTCGGCGGAGGTAGTTCGGTCCTGTCACTTCCTGTGGCGGTAAAGCGGCCCTGCTTCCTGCCGGAGCCAGAACTGTGCGCCGAGGTCTTGGGCTCGTGAGTTCTCGCCTGTGGGCAACCGACTCCATTTTCAATGAGGTCTCTGTTTATTAATTTTCCGTTTCTTTTCGGGGCTCTAGGTCCTTCGTAAAAGTGGTTTCTGAGTTTCCTGGTGGGTTCGGTACAGGAGATAGAACCTGGTGGAGTCCTGACACCGGGTTGGATTCCGCCCGTTGGTCAGGCTCTTGGTGCTCATTAGTCTTCATAACTGCAGATCTTCCCAGGGACATGGGTGCATGGTATCAGTTTCCTCTGGGTGTGTGTCGGTCTTCCCTGGCCTCATTGCTCCACTCTCTGTCTCCTGGCAGGCTCGGGGACCAGTTCTACAAGGAAGCCATTGAGCACTGCCGGAGTTACAACTCGCGGCTGTGCGCGGAGCGCAGTGTGCGGCTCCCCTTCTTGGATTCGCAAACTGGGGTGGCCCAGAACAACTGCTACATATGGATGGAGAAGAGGCACCGAGGCCCAGGTGAGCCACGCCACCCCCTGGGACGTGCACATATTTGGGTGCCGGGCTTGGGCGGGGGAGGACCATAGCTGTTCCAGAAATTTACGCAGTACTGCTGGGGTGTGGGCAAATTGTACAGCAGCCCGTAATTCTTCAGAGAAACTCAATGACTTTTACAGCTGTTGGCTGGTGAGGGGCCTTGAAGCCACATTGACAGGGGCGAAGGATATTTAGCTCCAAAAAGAGAAGACTGAGGACAGTCATCTTAATCTTTTACATGCGCCTGTTAGTGTGCCTTAGTTATAAATCTGAAATCTGCAATCAGATCTAGGTCTGAGGCTTACCTGTGTCATCATACCTCTCTCCTTGCACTTCCTCTTTCCTGAAATGGGGGTAATAGGAGTGCCTACCCAAGAATTTTGTCAGGATTAAATGCAGATAGTCACTAAGAAAGCCCCTAAGGGTTTAGCGCGTGATACTGTGTTCTCCAAATGCTCCACACTAGTCTTGTAGGCTTCAGAGAACAGAAGAAAGCTCAATGGATGGAGGTTTGGGAGGCCACTGTAGGAATGCGGTTTTCTGGCTCTTTGGGTATATTTTTAAAACTTTTATTATGGTAAATTTCAAACCCATGCAAAAGCAGAGAGAATAGTAAAATGAATCTCCATGTATTTATCACCCAGCCTCAACAATGACCAATTTATGGCCAATCCTGTTACATTTACACTCACCTTCCACTTCCCTCGCTGACTTCAGGTTATTTTGAAGCAAGTGAAATCTTTTTTTGTTCTGTAAATTTTTCAGTATGTATCTGTAAATGGTAGAGACTTAAAAATCAAACCCAAAATAACTATCAAAGCTCCAAGTTAACAGTAAAACTTGAATACCATCAAATATTTGGTAAACATTTTGTTTTTAAGGTTTTACTTATTTATTTAGACAGGGAAAGGGAGGGAAAGATCAGTGTGTGCTTGTCTCTCATGCGCCCCCTGCCGGGGGCCTGGCCTACAACCTAGGCATGTGCCCTGACTAGGAATTGAACCAGTGACCCTTTTGTTTACAGGCTGGACCTCAATCTATTGAGCCACACCAGCCAGGACTATGTATTTGTTTTTAGAGAGAGGGGAAGGGAAGACAAAAGACAGGGAAACATTGATGTGCAAGAGATACATCAGTCTGTTGTCTTGCACCCCCCCAGTTGGGGACTAGGCCCACAACCCAGACATGTGCCCTCACTGGAAATCAAACCAGTGACCCTTTGGTTCACAAGCTGGCACTCACTCAATCCACCACACCAGCCAGGGCAACATTTCTTTTCCCCTGTAGTTTAAGTCAGGATCCAAATAGGATCCCTTCATTGCAACTGACTTATGTGTGTGTGTCTCTCTCTCTTTTAATGTTGGTGGCAAGTTTCTTTAGTAATTATGTGTTGCTCTAATTAATGTTACAGATGGTTTACATTATTTTTAAAGATATATTTATTTATTTATTTTTAGAGAGAGAAGGGAAGGGAAGGAGAAAGAAGGAGAGGAATATCTGTGTGTGGTTGCCTCTTGCATGCCCCTTCTTGGGGATCTGGCCTGCAACCCAGGGATGTGCCCCGACTGGGAATTGAACTAGCAACCCTTTAGTTCGCAGCCTGTACTCATTCCACTGAGCTATGCCAGACAGGGCTCGCTCGCTCTCTCTTTTTGAAGAGTTTATTGATTTATTTCTAGAGAGAAGGAAAGGGAGGGAGAAAGAGAGGGAGAGAAACATCAATGTGTTGTTGCCTCTCACACATCCCCTACTGGGGACCTGACCCACAACCCAGGCATGTGCCCTGACTGGGAATTGAACATGTGACCTTTTGGTTTGCTGGCTGGCTTTCAATTCACTGAGCCACACTAACCAGGGTAAAATAAAATTTTTAAATATAAATACTGCTTTAGTCTTAGTTTATAAAGTTTGATAGGGTGTTTTCATTTTCATTCAATTCACTTATTTTCTGATTTTCCTTTTGATTTCTTCTTTTACTCATGGATTATTTAGAAGTGTGTTATTGAGTTTCCAAACTTTTGGCGGATTTTCAAAGATATGCTTGTTATTTATTTCTGATTTAACTTCATATAGCCAGGGTCTATACTTTGTATGACTTGAATCCTTTTAAATATACTAAGGCTTGTTTTATGGTCCAGAGTATGGTCTGTCTTGGATAAATATTTTCTTTGGTCTGGAAAAGTCTGAATTTTCGTGTTGTTGATATTTTCTGTAAATATCAGTTAAATCAAGTTTGTTGTTAATGTTCCTGAAATCTAAATCATTACTGATTTTTTGTCTATTTGTTCTATGAATTATCAAGAGAGAGTGTTGAAAGTTTTGACTATAATTGTGAGTTTGTCTATTTTTCCTTACAATTCCATTACTTTTTGCTTCATATATTTTGAACCTTTGGTTAGGTGCATAAATATTTGGGATTGTTATGTCCTCTTGTAACTGAGCAAAGTGTGGTCTGCCCCTGTGTCACCTTGATACAAAACTGAACAATTAGTGTTGAAGGAAATGGGGTTTTATTGACAGGATTCCATTCTTGGGGGTGGTGGCCTGGGGCACTCCTGCTCAGAGCCCTGTTCTCCCATGAGACCCAGCACTTCCCTTGCTCCCCACCAGGCTATAAAAAAAACATGTCCCAAAGTTCCCCATATCCTTGTCTTGTTCTTAAGTCAGATGTACAAACAGATCTCCATCCCCTCTGTAATGTGCACTTGTGGTTTTCAGAGTTGCTATCTTCTTGTAGCAGCTCTCTCCTTCAGGATATGGGGCATGTTTGTCCTCAGCGTCCACATAGTAGTCCAGGACAGGATGTGCCATGTTACACTGGGGTCCAGGGAAGCACGCGTCCCAAGAGGGTGGCCTCTCCATATGTCCTTCAGAGAAGCAAAAGTTAGCATTCCAGGCATACCTCACGAATTCGTGCTTGGTTTGGCAGTTCCCTGCGCAGCTCCATCAACTCTGTCCTCGCACCCTTTCCTCAACCCACGTGGCTGCCTTCCTCACCCCTCCAGGCAGCATGGCCGAATCCTGACCCTGGGCCAGCCGGGCTTCTACCGTACGCACCGGCCCTCTTGGCGGACTCTCGCAGACCTCATGGCTGAAATTCTCCCTCTACTTCACTAGAGACCCGCACACCTGCTTCCTAACTACGTCAGACCACATGGCAGAATCCCTCTACTTCATGGCTCCTTCTTCTTGGCTGCCTGTCTGCTCTCTCTTAGCCTGCTGACCCAGAGCTTCCTACATATCCTCATATCTGGCCCTTGCTCCAATGTGCCACTTTGGCTACTTCATCCATGTCTTTTACCTTCTTTTGCCTGCCATCTTTAGTCAGGGCAAGAGTACCCCTTGACATAGGAGCCTCTGCCTCCTCACTGCCTGTCCTGGCCTTCTCCCTGCCACTGCCCTGAATCTCAAGTAGACCTTTTACCTGGGGCAGCAGCACAGCTGATAACATGCTATCAACTTGCCATTGTTAAGAAAAGTATGTTAACCGCCTATCATCCCCTTCCATCATCTCCCAACCATGGGCTGTGGGAATCGTGTTCTGGGACCCCCGATTTATACCCCGTTTCACTCTTGATAGGTTGATGTCTTTATTATTATTTAATGACCTTATTTCTATGAATATTCTTTATTCTGAAATCAACTTTCTCTGATATGAATACAGCTGTATTAGTTTCTTTTTAAAATAAGTGTCAACATGGTGTATCGTTTTCCATTCTAATATATTTGTTTCTTTGTGCCGAGATTTTTATTTTTTATAAGCAGTATATAGTATCTTGATTTTTTTAATGTAATGCAATCTGCTTTATATTCTTTTTTCATTTTTTAAATATTTATTTTTAGAGAGGGAAAGGGAGGGAGGAAGAGAGAGAGAAACATCAGTGTGTGGGAGAAACTTCAGTTGGTTGCCTCTCACATGTGGGACCACAACCGAGGCATGTGCCCTTACTGGGAATTGAACTGGTGACCTTTTGCTTCGTGGGGTAATATCCAACCAAGTGAGCCACACTGGTCAGCACATTTTTTAATGTTAATATAGTTTTACTTTATAGTCATATAAAATATTTTCATGGTTCTAAAATCAAATCTGTAAAGCATAGTACACTCAGAGAAAGTATCTCCTTTTATCCTGTTTCTTTGCTATTTCCATAAGCAACTTTCTCTTTTTTTTGTCACTAGTATTTTGTGCTCTCTCTGTGACTTTTTTTTTAGTTTTTGGTTTGTCTTTACATTAAAAACTGCAAACCTACATTTATGTGTGTGTGTGTGTGTATATATATATATGTTTATCCCTGTTTTTAAGAGATAATAGCACATTATGCACAGTCTTCCACTTTGCTGTTTTCACTTAACAATATATTCCATTGCAGTGTACACTTCCCTCCCCCTCTGCCCTCTTGCTCTTTTTTTCTGTTTCTCAACAGCTTCATAATAGTCCATTGTGTGGATATACTATTGTTTATTCAACCAGGCCCTTATAGATTGATGTTGGATTGTTTCCAATCTTTTTCTAGTATTGAAAAAAGTACAGTGAACATATAACCATACAAACTGGGGTCGTCCAGTTGTTGCCTTCAATCTACATGACTCAACAATTAGTGCTGAAGGAAACAGTTTTAGAAAAAAATTATTTATTTTCAGAGAGAGGGGAAGGGAAGAAGAAAGAGGGAGAGAAACATCAATGGGTGGTTGCCTCTCATGCACCCCCTGTGGGGGGCATGACTTGGCTTGCAACCTGAGCATGTGCCCTGACTGGGAATCGACTGACGACCCTTTGATTCACAGGCCAGTGCTCAACCCACCAAGCCACACCAGCCAGGGCGTGAAGGAAACAGTGTTCATTAACAGGGTTCAAACCTTGGGGGGCTGAGAGCACTCCTGCTCAGAACCCTCCTCTCCCATGAGACCCAGAACTTCCTTTGCTCCCCAAAAGGCTGTAAGCCAAAACCCTGTCCAGAAGTTCCCCACATCCTTATCTGTCC